TAATTAGTAATTAAAGCATATTAAAACAATTGAAGAATCTGGTTTGCGTAGATCCTGACACTCCCTTCCTACAAATATTACATAAGTCAATGCTGGATCCAGGAGGATTCCTAGACTGCAAACCTGTTCCATAACCCATCCAAAACAGGTATTTCACTTAAAGCTTGAGGTCCAATCCTGGAATCAGCAACAACTTCTCTTGACTGAATTCTGTTTCAGCTTGTTCTCCCCCATTCAGTCCCTTATAGCCTGACATTGTATGAAGGTGCTCAAACATCAATATTGAGTTTGTAGAAAAGGTATAGTACAGCTAGGTATCATTAACATGCATGTTGCAACTGATTCCAAATCAAGTATGATCCTTCCAAGTAACTTCATACCCTTATTGAATAACGGAAGACAAGATAAAATCTTGGAACTGAACAGCTGTCTCCCTGTGCCACATTCTAGAAATACCTAGGGAAATAAGAGTGAAAGCATCACAAAATTGGGATCTCTAACCTACAGCTCCCACAGAAGTTCCAAAAAGATATCATGATCAATAGTATCAGAAGCCACTGTGAGGCCAAGAATATCAATAGGAACATGCTGCCATATCTCTCTCTGGTAAAGATCATCCATCAGAATAATTAAAGCCATCTCTGTGGCACATCTAGGTCTGAACAGAGTCTGGAAAGGATCTAGGTAATCCATACCCTTCAAAAGTTCCTAGAGAGGATGGCTGATTTTTCCACTGGCTTGCCTATGTATGGAACATTGGGTGCTAGCCTATAGTTGTTAAAATCAGTCTGGCCTGAAGGTGGTTTCTTAAGCAAGGTCTTCACCACCTCCTCTTTTAAGGAAAGAGGGAACTCTTCTTGCTGTAGAGGGATCTTAATCTAAGAGATAATTGGTCAAGCTATAGAGGGAATTTAACATGCAAGTTGTATAGTAGTGTGAAGGACCTTATTCATTTCCTCTAGAAATCAACAGTGAAACAGATTCACACAGATCTTATTAGATGATATGCTGGACACTTTAGGCATTATCAAGCCCAGTGTGGAAGTAGTGTTATTCATGAAGAACCATGGGAATTCTTCATAAAACAGCACTAGGACATTGGCCAGGAGCACCCTATTTCACAAGGTACTGATCCATTCATGACAAGACATCACTTCTGGGACTCCTATATATCCACTTTTCCACTCCAAGACAAATGCCAGATTGAAGGTATGGCCAGCCTCATGGACAGTTCCTGAAACAATCTGATTATGGCCCCCAGAAACTATGAAATCCATCAGATTCCTAGATATGTTTATGCCTTGATGCCTCTGTGTCTGTGAGGCTTCTGTCAGCTCAAGTCAAGGTGATGAGCTAAATGATGAATTGCTGAGGAGATGTGATTTACTGGGAAGCCTAACATCTGCTACATCAACAGAATCCCTCTTTTCACCTGAACAAGGTACAAACCTTCAGAAGTAGTACAATCCCAGCAAGCAGCCTGGAAAGGGAGATTTTATGGGGCATTTATTGGAGTTTGGTACCTCTTGCTCTGGGGTGAGGCTCATCCATATAGCAAACTCGTATTCCTGTCTCATGGAAAATCAAGTGGAAATGTGGTAGTAAGTGGAGCCTGGAAAAGGACTTTTTAAAAAATTTGCAAAACCAACATTTTTAAAAAAACACACCCCAGATTTTCAGTGGGGAATGAGAGAAAGGAAATTCTACATTATGATTCAGCTGGTTGTTTTAGAACACTAAGGAAGACAAGGAACAAAGGAAAGCTAGATTTTTTTCTGAGATGCCTTCCTTTATTTTCATCCAGTTCTTGGGATTATACACTGTGCAATAGTAGGGACTGTTGGATGTGACAAGCTTGAGACATTGACAAAAATTACCCTGGCAGCTTGGGCCATAGACTTTGAAGGACAGAGCAAGAAAGCATCTGATCTGTACTGATGCAAGAGAAAGTGTTTGGTCATTCATTTGTTTTGGTCCATTGAAATGAAATATAGTTAAGCAATGGCATACAGAGAGCGTAACTGGGCCAAAGTCACCCTGTGAACTCTGGAGTTCAATAGGAACTTGAATTTGGGATGTAGCCATTATATCATTAGGTTAAAGTGGACTCAATTGTAGCATCTGAGAACTCCAAATATTTTCTAGTTCTACCTCTTCATAACGGTGGTTGCATTTAATAAGACAGACTTGCTCCTCCTAAGAGTCAGAGAGAAGCTTTTCTTTATTGTTAAGGGTCAAAGTTAATCCATCATGGAATTCAAGATCACCCATCCCATGTTTGCTTAGTTTCAACAAACTGATTGTAATGCATGCCTTCTACATGTTTTAGGCACTGTGCAGAACAGCCACAACATGAAGTCTGTAAGATATGAAGTGGCTAGAATAAGAATGGCTTGCTGAATTGGCTTGTGTTTAAACTTGAGCCCAGTAATGTGCCAGCTACAGTAATCTGAGCAGCAGTAATTCTGTTTGCAGTTGAATGACGATATGGAGTGTGCACCTGCAAATTCTGAACCAACAGATGAACAGTTAGATGAAGAGGATAAGGAAGATACCAGTTCAACAATCCTTCCAGGTGAGGGCTTCTAATCTTGTCAAACTGAATAATTCATGATGGAGCACCCTGAGCTCTTGTTGGATACTGTTACCAATTGGCAAGAAACACTCAAAGCAGTGATATCTCCCCAAAGTATCAAGAGAGTGTGCTGTTTGCAAGGGACAGGTAGCTGGCTGAAGTATTCAGCAGGCATAAGGTGGGGAGGGAAGGCTTTCCCATGCAATTAATATTCTGTCTGTGGTAGCGCACTCACCAAGAATACCTATAGTCAGGCACTCAGATGAAATGTGGGGAAAGCTGATCACTACACCAGTGATAGATAATAGTGTTATGTAATGCTTTGGACCATTTGGGGACCCAAGTGGAACAGCTGTCTGCAACTGTTTCAAGCAGCTGCATCTTTTCCTAGAATCATGGCAGCTATGCTATCCCATGAAAAGATGTAGCTGCTTTAAATCGTTGTAGACACTTTCTCTGTTCACACTGTACGTGGTCAGAAACACCTTTTTGGAATTTAATCCGAAGTGTTGCATAGCCCTAGTAAGCAATCTCAATTCATCTCTGCCCCCATCCCTTTTTTCAGCATGCTAGGGCATGATTTTCCATAGATTTAAAGAACGAAGCCTC